TGAGCTCCAGCAACCGCGCCGCCGCCGCGCCCCCGGCCGCACCGACGGCGCCGTCGCTGCGGACGCCGCGGCGCCTGCGCCGGCGCCCGCTCAGGGCCCCGGGGTCGGGCGGCGGGCGGCGGAGCGGGCCCGCCACGCCGCTGCTCCGGTGGGACGCGGGGGTCGCCAATGGGGCGCCCGAGAGGCGCGGCGAGAAGGCGGCGGCTGCGGGGGCCGGGCCTGGACCCGGCCCCGGCCCGCGGGAGAAGGCGCGGGATGTGTCGGTGAGGCGGCTCGCGGCCGGGGTGTGGCGGCTGCGGCCCCCGGAGGCGGTCGTCGGCGGCCACGGCGGCGGCGCGGAGGGCAGGGTCCACGTCGGGCTCGAGGTGCGCGCGCGCGCGGCTGGTTTTTCGTTTTCGTTTTCGTTTCGTTTCCTGCTAGTAGGTAGGCGGTGATGCGCGCATTCATTGGAGGCTCGTGCTTCGTGTGATTTGTCGAGCTGCTTTGCTTGCCCACCATCTGTTTCCCGCACTACTTTATTAGTAGCTAACCGCTGCGTGTTCAGTGAATCCGCCTTAGTCAAATCCAGAACTAAAAAGGCCTGCGCTGTTTCTTAGATTTTGTTCTGATTTGATGTGTTTTAGCTAGCTTAAACCAAGCGAAACTCATGTTTGCCTAATGTCTGCTAGTAAATCTCGTAGGTCATTGTTCATTCGTAGCTCTAGGCCAGAGATCTCCTGCAAATTTGTTCATACGTAGGTCATTGTTCATACGTAGGGCATTCTCTGTGCGATTTCTCCACTCAACCGTGTACATTTTTGTTCATCTAGTATTTAGTACTTATTTTGGGCATTCTCTGTGCGATTTCTCTTCTGAACTATGCACATTTTTGTTCCTCTATTTTTAGCTGCATACCGATGTAGTATCGGCGGCAGCACTGCTACCCGTTGTAGCGTCGACGCATTTACTAGTGGCCGTCTTAACTAAAGATGCGTCGGGCTGAAGCACACCTCCATTTAATGGAGGCAGCCGTGCTGTGCAGCCACGGGAAGGAGACGGCCGTGATCGCTGTCCCATAAATTTACTCGTCCAAAAGGCACTTGCATTTTTCCTGCGCTCGGATCTCGTCATGTGATCCCAGATTGGGGCCCAGGCATACATAGGATCCTTCCCATGCCCGTGCAGCCACAAATGCATCGTCCGTATGTGTTTGCCACTTTGCCGGTGAACGGCCATTTATTTCCCTTTCGCGGAATGGGTTGTGGGAAGAGCTCGGATCGGAATTTGGATCTTGCAGATGGGTTGGTGGGTGTAATTGGATAGCTGCGGTCCAAATCTCGTTTGTTTAGGCAGTATAGGCACCCCATTAGCCGGAATGATTGGACTGAACTCGTGTGCCGTGCGGCAACAAACATGTGCATCCTGGGTTCAGCTATGTTGTCCCGGGGCAAGCCAATAGCTGCCTGTCTCGTCTCATTGGAGGAGACTATTCTTGCCCCATCAGATATTTTTGAGGTGATTGGATCTTAGGTTAATAAATGAGATGAATATTCGTGACACTGTATATGTAGCCGGGTAGGTTGGAATTTAGATTCACTGTGCATGCTCTCATTTGAGAGGGGTCTGCATCTGCATGTGATGATAGTTTGGCCCCCTTCAGATTCTCTATGTCTTTGATCATGTCCCTCGAGCAGTTCGCCTTTTTGGTTGTACATGGATGATGGGAGCCTTTTGTGTCCCTTTCAAATAGCCACACTGTGAGAAACAGTAACTTGAATGCATGCAGATCATCCTCGTTCTTGGGTGGATTGGGGCTTGGGGAGACTTTTCTGATTTGCTTAATGATGGAACAGGGAATGCACATGTAGCAATAGTTTTAGTGTACAAACTGATGAATTTTCTTCTCCTCATGACTTATAATTGCTGTATTTGCTATATGTCAGCATATCCCGAGGCATCTACAAGTCCAGCTTCTTAAACAAGATACGTTGGGTCATCACCAGAGTCTTAAGAATGAGATTTCAAGCCCGATTTCTGTTTTGGAGCGAAAGAGCGAAGAGCTTCACAAGGTGATTCAGAAGTTAATTATAATCTCGACTATTTTGCATGTACCGGTATGTAAAATTATTTGGAAGATCTGATGGATTTAATTCTGCAGGTACAGTTTCATGGTTCTTCACCTATGATACCTGTTACCGCCATGGAGAAAGCAACAAAATGGGAGCCTGAGAACATGAAAGGAATGGAATCGCATGATGCCTATCTGATAGCCAGCCAACTAAATCTTCTGGATGAGCCGCAAGATGCATCCTATGTTGCTAACCTCCAGTTGGAGCTCCGGCAAGCACGTGATCGAGTGGGTGAGCTAGAAAGCGAGCGCCGGTCAACTAAGAAGAAACTTGACCACTTGTTCAAGAAGCTTGCCGAGGAGAAAGCAGCTTGGCGCAGTAGAGAGCATGAGAAGATGCGTGCTGTTCTTGAAGATATGAAGGCAAACCTTGATCATGAGAAGAAAAACAGGAGGCGGCTGGAGCTGATTAACATGAAGCTCGTCAATGAGCTGAAGGAGACCAAGATGTCAGCAAACCAGCTGGTGCAAGAGTATGATGAGGAGAGGAAGACTCGGGAGCTCACCGAGGAGGTGTGCAACGAGCTAGCAAGGGAGGTGGAGGAAGACAAAGCCGAGATCGAGGCCTTGAAACATGACATCCAGAAGCTGCGAGAGGAGGTGGATGAGGAGCGGAAGATGCTGCAGATGGCTGAGGTGTGGCGCGAAGAACGGGTGCAGATGAAGCTTGTTGATGCAAAACTCACTTTGGATGCCAAATACACAGAATTGAGCAGACTGCAGCAGGATGTTGAGGCCTTTGTTGCTGGATGCAGTTCTGCTAGGGGAGACATCACGGTAGTGGAACAAGCGGAGAACATTATACATGCGATCAGGTCAGTCAGAGCACAGGGTGTTGAATTCAGGTATGAGCCGCCAGCAGAGTCAGAAGACATATTTTCAATTTTTGAAGAGCTGCGTCCAAGTGAAGAGCCTGTTATTAAGGAGATCGAGCAGTGCTACAAGAACAGCTCCACTGTATGTGAATCAGAGATCCAGGAGGCCAGCCCAATGACAGATATATTCCTGGAGAAGCCAGCCAAGGCGGCGTACTCGAATAAGAACCCTCACAATGAGAGCGAAGCTGGAGATGCCAGCAGCTGGGAGACAATAAGCCATGAAGAGATGCAGGGTTCAAGTGGTTCACCCGACGGAAGCCAGTCGTCGATCAACAAGATCTTCGACGGGAGCATCTCCTGGACGAGCAGAAACGATTTCGAGTACGGGGAGATCGAGAAGCTGAAGGATGATCTGGCGGACGCATACCTGACGACCATGACTCAGCCCAAGAAGAAAGAATCAGCCATATCAAAGCTCTGGAAGTCATCTCGCCCAAAGAACAGCGACGTCTCCAAGAAGGATGCCACGGAGGCACTGAACGGCAGATCATCGAATGTGCGGCTGTCGGTCGGGACCAATTCCACCATCGAGAGCGGCGTTCAGGATATCGGCCTCAGCTCGCCGAGCGTGGGGCAGTGGAGCTCGCCGGACTCGATGAACATCCAATTCAACCGCGGCTTCAGGGGCTGCATGGAGTACCCGCGGGCGTCCCAGAAGCACAGCCTGAAGGAGAAGCTCATGGAGGCGCGGATGGTGAGCCAGAAGGTGCAGCTCCGCCAAGTGCTCAAGCAGAAGATCTAGAAGCGCCAGAAACACGAGGCGAAACCGGTGCAAAGCCTAGAAGAAATAATCTCGGAAATTACTTCGCAGCTTCATTTTTTTCTTGTTGTTGTCTTAGGGTCACTTGTAAGTTGTAATTGATGTACTAGTAAAGAACCGATAATAGATCAATCAGGTCGGCCTTTGTGGGCCGTGCTGCTTCTGTATCTTGCCGTAGCTCTGGGGATATGGTTGCATTTGGTAGGCTGCGGGGAGATCCGGCATGATGTAATATAGACATAAACATGCAGCAATGTTCAGACAAAGTTCACGTCCAGTCCAGGGATCAATGTTTTTACGCTTTTTACTGTAGCTACCTCCCTTCTCCCTATATATGCTGCTCTGACTCGGTGTTCCTGATTCGTTTCTTCTTTTTTGAATGATTTGGAGTTAGTACACGTTTTGGAGTGTGGAAAGACGCAAAATGCTGTAGCCAAGGAACCTATCTTTGCCTTTGGAAAGCGTACATATGCGTCGTTCTTCTCCCAAGAAGGGGCAGGCCTCGTTGGCTCTGAAAGTGGCACCTCCCACACCCGACTGGCGTTCGCCAGTGGAGACTGAAGTGTCCACTCGGGAGTGGAGAGCCAGGCGCGCAGATTTTTTGGTCTGCCCTGACTGCCGTGCTAACTAGCCAACCACATTACCAAGGATAACTGCAATCAGCGGCTATAGCTTTGTCTTCACACATCAACAGCTGCTCCTAGCAGTCAGGACTACTCTCACAGATTAGCAACTGCTAATAATAACAATTGCCATTTTGTCTCACGACCTAGGAGCAACTGCAACTTGCGGTTGGATTTCATCTCACAAAGATGTACCAACTATCCCTTGGTATAAATAGGTCTAGAATCAATGTGAATCTCATCAGTTCAATCATCCACGTAATTATATATTATTTCTATCAATGCAAGTATGCACTCTTTGTTCACAGTTTCTCACACAGTGCAAGGATGAAATATTTCTGCATTAAAAAAACTAGCTTTTGATTTAAATCATTTTCTCATACATAATTTATCTGAAATTTATCTCTAAATTCTTGCCACAGCGCACAGGGAAATTACCTAGCTATTACTGTTTTTTTGCTACCACCATGATTTACTTATGGATTAAATCAATCGAAACGTTGCCAATTCATCCGACAGTTGTTCCATGTCCTCTGCAGAGAATGGAGTAGCAATGTTTTTCATTGAGAGAGTGAAGTATAGGCCCTGTTTGATAGCAAAGTATTTTCTAAGTATTTTGAGGATACTACAGTTTTTGAGATTACCACAGTTTTATTTACAATGAGCTGTTTGGTTGCCCCTAACAACTATGCTTTTAATATTATAGTATTGGGCAAACTGCAGTTTTTTCTCTGCATATAAAAAAGAACCCCAAACCTTTTTAAAAAAAACAGAGCTGCTGAGTGCTTAAACACAACGGCTAAACAACAAAATTTACAGCGTTATGCAGCAACAGCCAAACAGGTTCTATGTATTGTGAATACTGCAAAATACTCTATTTTAATAAAACTATGGTATCTCACACCTATAGGCAAAATTACTGTAGTTTTTGATACTTTGATTTATATAATACTTTGCTATCAAACATAGTTGTGGTAGAGAAGAGAAGAGAAGAGGTGAAGTGAGACTGTGAAGATGCATAATGTTTTATATTCGCTCCTTCTCATAACTACGTACCACTTCCTTGACACAACAAAATAGCAAGTATATATACCCCTGTTTTACAAAATACAAGTTCCGATGTCAGTAAACTACATTGCAGCCGTGAAATAAATAACAACTGCAACAACAATATATGTACCAACTAGAAGCACATGTACAATTATTGCAACTTCACAAGATATTGATACATCTATCAAACATATGTCTGCAATAGGTGCAAATGGTGATAAAGTAGAGAAACCTAGCAAAACCAGTTCTTGTAACTTGGTGTCATCGCTTCTTGGTACTAGCACAAGTGCAGCAGTCCTAAAGGCAACCAACAAAGCATAAGTGTAGGCCTGGAGCTGCACAGGTCGAAAGAACCAAACAACAACTGCAGTACCCTGAACAATTACTCCCTCCCTTTCTTGTTACTTTGTACTTCCTCCGTCCGGAAATACTTGTCATCAAGATGAATAAAAGGGAATGTATTTAGATGTATTTTAGTTCTCGATATATCCCCTTTTATTCATTTTGATGACAAGTATTTTCAGACGAAGGGAGTATATAAGATTTGTTTGAAGTCAAACTATGCATTGTTTGACCAAATTTATATAAAAAAACATCAACATCTACAATAGTAAGACCATGTAACATGAAAATTTATTCCACGGCCTTATCACAACTCGCCTCCTGGGTCGCACGCGCGTGCGGCTCCAGAGGCCCCCCAAACCCTAGGTCCAGCCCTCCCCCTTAGATCTGTTGGAGAACGTAGCTATAATTCAAAATTTTCCTATGTGTCACCAAGATCTATCTATGGAGTCATCTAGCAACGAGGGAGGAGTGGATCTACATACCCTCGTAGATCGCGCGCGGAAGCGTTCAAGAGAACGGGGTTGATGGAGTCGTACTCGTCGTGATCCAAATCACCGATGGTCCTAGCGCCGAACGGACGGCACCTCCGCGTTCAACACACGTACGGAGCAGCGACGTCTCCTCCTTCTTGATCCAGCAAGGGGAAAGGAGAGGTTGATGGAGATCCAGCAGCACGACGGCGTGGTGGTGGAAGTAGCGGGATTCCAACAGGGCTTCGCCAAGCGCTGCGGGAGGAGGGAGATGTGTCACGGGAGCGAGAGGGAGGCGCCAGGGCTTATGTGTGGCTGCCCTCCCTTCCCCCCACTATATATAGGGCCAAGGGAGAGGGGGGGGGGGGCGCAGCCTTGGCCCTTCCTCCAAGGAAGGGTGCGGCTAGGAAGGAGTCCCTCCCCCCCAAGGCACCTAGGAGGTGCCTTCCCCTTTAGGACTCTTCCTTTCCTTATCCCTTGGCGCATGGGCCTCTTGGGGCTGGTGCTCTTGGCCCATATAGGCCAAGGCGCACACCCCTACAGCCCATGTGCCCCCCCGGGGCAGGTGGCCCCACCCGGTGGACCCCCCGGGACCCTTTCGGTGGTCCTGGTACAATACCGATGACCCCGAAACTTGTCCCGATGGCCGAAATAGCACTTCCTATATATAATTCTTTACCTCCGGACCATTCCGGAACTCCTCGTGACGTCCGGGATCTCATCCGGGACTCCGAACAACATTCGGGTTACCGCATACTAATATCTCTATAACCCTAGCGTCACCGAACCTTAAGTGTGTAGACCCTACGGGTTCGGGAAGAATGCAAACATGACCGAGACGTTTTTCGGTCAATAACCAACAGCGGGATCTGGATACCCATGTTGGTTCCCACATGTTCCACGATGATCTCATCGGATGAACCACGATGTCGAGGATTCGATCAATCCCGTATACAATTCCCTTTGTCTAGCGGTACGATACTTGCCCGAGATTCGATCGTCGGTATCTCGATACCTTGTTCAATCTCGTTACCGGCAAGTCTCTTTACTCGTTACGTAACACATCATCCTGTGATCAACTCCTTGATCACATTGTGCACATTATGATGATGTCCTACCGAGTGGGCCCAGAGATACCTCTCCGTCACACGGGGTGACAAATCCCAGTCTCGATTCGTGCCAACCCAACAGACACTTTCGGAGATACCCGTAGTGCACCTTTATAGTCACCCAATTACGTTGTGACGTTTGGCACACCCAAAGCACTCCTACGGTATCCGAGAGTTGCACAATCTCATGGTCTAAGGAAATGATACTTGACATTAGAAAAGCTTTAGCATACAAACTACACAATCTAGTGCTATGCTTAGGATTGGGTCTTGTCCATCACATCATTCTCCTAATGATGTGATCCCGTTATCAACGACATCCAATGTCCATGGTCAGGAAACCGTAACCATCTATTGATCAACGAGCTAGTCAACTAGAGGCTTACTAGGGACATGGTGTTGTCTATGTATCCACACATGTATCTGAGTTTCCTATCAATACAATTCTAGCATGGATAATAAATGATTATCATGAACAAGGAAATATAATAATAATCAATTTATTATTGCCTCTAGGGCATATTTCCAACAGTCTCCCACTTGCACTAGAGTCAATAATCTAGTTCACATCGATATGTGATTAACACTCAAGGTCACATCCCCATGTGACTAACACCCAAAGAGTTTACTAGAGTCAATAATCTAGTTCACATTTACCATGTGATTAACACTCGATGAGTTCTGGGTTTGATCATGTTATGCTTGTGAGAGAGGTTATAGTCAACGGGTCTGAACCTTTCAGATCCGTGTGTGCTTTAGAAATCTCTATGTCATCTCCTAGATGCAGCTACCACGCTCTATTTGGAGCTATTCCAAATAACTGCTCTACTATACGAATCCAGTTTACTACTCAGAATAATCTGGATTAGTGTCAAAGCTTGCATCGGCGTAACCCTTTACGACGAACTCTTTTACCACCTCCATAATCGAGAAAATTCCTTAGTCCACTAGTTACTAAGGATAACTTTGACCGCTGTCCTGTGATCC